GCCCCAAAAAACAACGAATCGACACCGAATGTGCAATCACTTCTGGTGGTTTCTTCGGGAGGCCATTTTCTAGATTTTGGAGCCTATTTGGAAGAATCGAAAGCCATGCAGTGGCATGGCACTGGAAAGAATGACGCCAACGCTGCAGCGGGAGCACGGTTCGGAACGAGAGGAAGCGCCGAAATGAGGCCACCGCTGCAGCGGGAGCACGGTTCGGAACGAACGGTAGCCCGAAAATGATGCCAGCGATCCAGCGAGAGCAGCATTTTGAAAAACAACCCAAGCGCGGAAGCGCGGAAATGAGGACCCGTAGCCTGACATAGCATGGCGTAGCGACGGCCAAAAGTGGGGGTTTCTGCTGCCCCAGAAATCAAATCATCGACACCGAATGTACTTATTCGGGAAGCCATTTTCTACATTTTAGAGCCTATTTGGAAGGACCGAAAACCCTGCCGTGGCATGGCGCTGGAAATAATGACGCCAACGCTGCAGCGGGAGCACGATTCGGAACGAGTGGAAGCGCGGAAATGAGGCCAGCACTGCAGCGGGAGCACGGTTCGGAAAGAGCGGTAGCCCGAAAATGATGCCAGCGCTTCAGCGAGAGCAGCATGTTGAGCAAAACCGGAAGCGAGGAAACGAGGACGCGTAGTCCGAAATAGCATGGCGTGGCGACGCCCCAAAGTTGTGGGGGGCGCTTCAGCGGCCGAAAAATCAACGAATCGACACCGAATATGGAATCTTCGGGGTGCCAGTTTCTAGATTTTGGAGCTTATTTGTTGGAAGGACCCAAGGCCCTGCCGTGGCATGGCGCTGGAAAAAATGACGCCCACGCTGCAGCGGGAGCACGGTTAAGAACGAGCGGAAGCGCGGAAATGGGGCCACCGCTGCAGTAGGAGCAAGATTCGGAAGAAGCGGTAGCCCAAAAATGAAGCCAGCGCTTCAGCGAGAGGAGCATGTTGAGAAAAAAAACCAAGCGAAAACCCAACTTCTGGGAATCAGGTGTAAAACACAAACACGCGGAGGGGGGCCCGACATTTCCCGGACGCCACCAGGGGAGAGAGGAGAGTAGTACTCAGATTGCGTCATTTTGGAAACCGGAGGAGGAGGAGGAGGGGGGAAAGAAGAAAACGGGGAGGGGCAGGAGGGGAAGGGGGAGGAGCACGCCCTGCGGCCCCCAGTGCCCCCTACTCTGCGGGGCCCTCGGCCGGACCAAACGCCAGGCGCCCAACTCGCACGCGAGGGGACGCACATCCTCGACAAGTGGTGCGTCCGAACGGCCCAACGCGAGGTGCTGCATCCCTGGGACCCCCTCCTCTCGACAAACGGACGATGCCCACCAGTACTTCTAGGGGGGCTCACCCACGCCTCGCGATGCGAGGCTGCGATGCAGGTGTGGATGGGGGCTGTCGGACACCGAGGGGACCCTCGGCCGAGCGGGGACACCCATCCAACAGCACGCACATGCAGCCCTTCCAGGAGCCCACCCCGAGAAGTCCTGGGGTCGTGCAGGTATGGGTGCTATGTGTCAACTCATGATCTCTTCTGAGCGGCCAGTCTGTTTGACCTCGGGGAGGAGGAGGAGGAGGAGGAGGAGGAGGAGGAGAAGGAGGAGGAGGAGGAGGAGGAGAAGGAGGAGGAGAAGGAGGAGGAGGAGAAGGAGGAGGAGGAGAGGAGGAGGAGGAGGAGAAGCAGGAGGAGGAGGAGGAGGAGGAGGAGGAGGAAACCTCGGGGAAGCCTCTGGGATTCAGTGAGGGACGAGGTCACCTGCGGCTGGCGGCTGGCTCGCGGCCTCCTCGTGCCCCTCCTCCTCTTCCTCCTCCTCCTCCTTCCTCCTCCTCCTCTTCCACCTGCTCCTCCTGTTCCTCCTCCTTCTCCACAATTACTCAATATGAATACAACTCTCCCTCTTCCCCTGATGACGGTTTCAATGTGGCCGACCCCCCCCGCGTTCTGTTTTTTAACACACAGGTTTCCCCAGAGTTGGGTTTTCGCCTGCATTTGTTTTCAAGATGCTGCTCTCGCTGAGGCGCCGGCCTCATTTTCGGGCCCCGCTCGTTCCGAATCGTGCTCCCGCTGCAGCGCTGGCCTCATTTCCGTGCTTCCGCTCGTTCCGAATCGTGCTCCCGCTGCAGCGCTGGCCTCATTTCCGCGCTTCCGCTCGTTTCGACTCGTGCTCCCGCTGCAGCGCTGGCGTCATTTCCCGTGCCATGCCACGGCATGCAATGCAATGCTAGGTTGATACTACGCTTTGCGGTGCTCTTCTACGCCATGCCATGCCGTGCTCTACAATGCATCGCGTACCCTTTCGGGATCATTGCCCTGCTCGACATCCGACTGAGCGAGTAGAGAGGGGATCTGCGCCATGGTAAGGGATGGGAGGGAGGGGTAGGATGTCAGATATGACGCGAGCGCACCTAGCTTGTCCTCCCCCCTCCCCTTTCTCCTCCTCCTCCTCCTCCTCCTTCTCCTCCCCCTCCTCCTCCTCCTCCTCCTCGTCCTCCTCCTCCTCCCCCTTTTTCTGGTGCAAGGAACGACCCCACGCTGACTCGAGGTTGCCTACCGCGGCCTCCCCCTTGCCAGCTCTGGCCGACGCGCGCCCGGAGGTCGCGGGGACATGCTGTTTTTCGTCGCCACCGCGCCTGCTCCTCTCCATCCACAGAAACCCAGGGCACGGCACCCTGGAGGCAACCAGGGTGTTTCTTGGCATGGGCCTCCACTGAAAGCGAATGGTGGGGCCCCGAATGATCCGGGTGTTAGGTGCACTTTTCGAGTCCTCAAGGCCCCTTTCGGGGCCCTGGATCAAGGGCACGCATCGAGATCCTGGACGGAACGCGCTCCACGGACGATGAGGGGTATTCGGAGGGGTCAGAAAGATCCCTCCACCCTTTGCGTAGGATCGGGCCGCATCGGCCATGACTCAATTTGAATCGAATCGTCTGCGCCCGGATGCACCACACTGTCCATGCAGGCATCGGGGCTCATCGGATCGCCGGAACATAGGAATCGAATCGCATCGAGCGGGAAAAAATCGATATAAAATCAGATCTCCTGGTTCATAATGGGCCAGGATGGGTGGAAGAAGCCCTTCGCCCAATCCCGCCACTCCCTCGCCTTCTCCCTGGCCCCCACTGGGTGAGGAAACGAAGGGCGCTTCAAAGTGAAGAAATCCGATCCTGGAAGAAGCATGTCCTGGATTTTGTTCGCCGTTTCCGACGACCTGGGGACAGTCAAACCCAGGTTAAAGAACTGGTCCTGGGGAACGCCCTGTGGTCTAGAACCCTATTCCGAAAGGTCTCATCCTTGCTGGCGACGCTTGGAGACGCTAACTGCATATGATATCCACAGGAACCGATCCTGGAAAGGCGGATCCGAGGCCCAAGAATTGTGCACCGTGCACTGTGTATACAAAACTTCGACGGGCACCAACCTCCCGCGGACGCCGTGCAAAAAATCACCACTGGACCCGTATCAACGCCGCGGCTCTATCTTTCAACCCCCTCTCCTTCAGGGGTGGGCCAGGTGGGGGTGGGGGGTACTACAGGCCTCGGAACAAATCAGCGAACACTCATGCCACATCCATCTGTCAACGCCTCCCCCTCCCCCCACTGCTAAATGTTGGCGGTGGGTCTGACGAGATGCACTTCGACCGCAGTCTCCCCCGCAGTGTCCCTGCTGCGAGACACGCTCACGGTCGGGGGCCGAAGCTCTTCGGCACAGCCCCAAGGAGGGGGGAGGGTGTCCAGGGTGGGCGCGGAGGTGCGCTACCTTGCCCCAACGCTTCCCCCGATCCTCCTCCCTCGTCCCCATCCTCTCCCTCCTCGCTCTCCCTCCTCGCTCTCTCTCTCTCTCTCTCTCTATAAATATATGCCCTCATCCTCCTCCTCATCCTCCCTCCTCCTCCCCCTCCTCCTCCTCCTCCTCCTCCTCCTCCTCCTCCTCCTCCTCCTCCTCCTCCTCCTCCTCCCCCTCCTCCCCCCCCCTCCCCCTCCCCCTCCCCCTCCACAATTACTCAATATGAAAATACTCTCCCTCTTGCCCTGATGGCGTCCGGGTGATGGCCGCGCACCCTCCGCGTACTGTTTTTTACACACAGGGCGCCGGCGTCATTTTTTCCCAAAATGCTGCTCTCGTTGAGGCGCCGGCCTCATTTCTGCTCCCGAATCGTTCCGGATCGTGCTCCCGCTGCAGCGTGAGCCCCATTTTCGGAGCCGTGTTTGGCCTCCGTCGTTCAGGATGGCGTTCTCGCCCCAGCGCGGGCCTTTTTCTCGCGCGCCCATCCGCCCGCCACCACCGCGCCGCACCGCCACCACCACCACACCACCACCACCACCACCACCACCACAACCAGCACCAGCACCAGCACCAGCACCAGCATCAGCACCAACACCACCACCACCAGCACCAGCACCACCACCACCAGCACCACCACCACCACCATCACCACCACCACCACCACCACCACTACTTGGGCGCCCGAGTTATCCGGGGTAACTCGGGTCCGGGGTAACTCGGGTTTGGGTTCCCGAAAAACGAACCCGAGTTATCCCTGACCCGAGTTACCCCTGATGATTCGGGGCTCTGGACGCCCGAGTTGTCCGGGGTAACTCGGGTCCGGGGTAACTCGGGTTTGGATTCCCGAAAAACGAACCCGAGTTATCCCTGACCCGAGTTACCCCTGATGATTCGGGGCTCTGACCACCACCACCACCACCACCACCACGACAACCACGCACACACGCACGCACGCACGCACGTGCACCACCACCCACTACGCACGCGCGCGCGGAGCCACAGGTCCGCTACGACACGCGTCCGCGGATAGAGAAAATCAGCGCCATGGTAAGGGATGGGAGGGAGGGGTAAGACGTCAGATATGACGCGAGCGCACCTAGCTTGCCCTATCCCCTCTCTCTCTCTCTCTCTCTCTCTCCCTCCCTCTCTTGACCCAACCCAGACCCGCGGCCCGCCGCCCATCTCCCCTCCCCCCGCCCACGCGGTGCCTCGGAGCGGCGGCGGCGCCATCTCTCTCTCGGAGGCCGCCGCCTAGCTTCGGACTGGGACGGCAAGGGGGGACACACCATGTGCACATTACAGTCGGCCCGTATCACAAGGATGCGCGATAAGGATGCAAAGGCCTTGGACGCCCATGTCGAAGCTTTCCAAGCGTGGCGCGGCCAACGAAAGTGGCCACGCATGGGCCGAGGAGGCAAGGCTGCAAGGGTACCCTTGGGAAGCTTGCCCATTCTTACCATGCGGGTCGACTGCAAACCTGAGCTGGCGGAGGTGCGCGCGGACGTTCGACAGTTTGGCGCGTCATTCCGCCGGTGGGGGATCGAGCAATCATACAGACAGGTCCACCTTGCTCCGCATCCCTCAACCCTGCTCCTCACTGTCTTCCACGCGTGGATCCCCAGAGCGTGCGCAGCCACCGAAACCCATCAGTACGGCGCTGGCTGTGTACCAATGGGGCGACACCGGTGGCGTGCCGTCGGTGGAGCCGAGAAGGGCGAACACACGTTGGGCCATCAATCACACCGATGATCACCGACCCCCCTTTCTATCGGGGAGACGTAAGACCCGGGTACGGGGGACTCGGGTTAGCCTAACGGGCGCCTTATGAAAATGACGAAATCCAATCTGAAATTTGACGCGGGCTCTCGCTGCAGAGACATCCCACAAAAACCGGACCGTCAAAATCCTGGACGCGCTCGTCAAAAAACTTCGGCTAACCCGAGTTCCGGCTTACTCGAGTCTTACGTTTCCCCGATTCTAGTAGAGGGGATGGGCAGGCACGAGGTAGACCTGCGTACGGTCAGAACTGATAGCACTGATGCGCGATGAGGATGTAAGCGCCTGGGACGCCCATCCCGAATCTCTTCGAAGGGGGCTGGCCATCGAAAGTGGTTGAGGATGGGCCGAAGATGACCGAAGAGGCAAGGATGCAAGGCAAGGGTACCCTAGGGATGTCGATCATCTTCGCTATCACTGTTGACTGCGATTGTCCTCCGAGGGGGGGTCGCAAAGGGGGTGCCGCGAGCCGGCTGCAGGCAACTGGCTTTCCCGGCGCCCGACACGCCAGCGGATCTCGAAGAGAGGCGCCCCCAGCAACGGGACCTTTAGACTCGCCGCGTGCAGCTGAATTCGCACCCACCCGGAATCATCACATGCATCGATCCTGGGCCAGGGATGGGCCTCCAGGGGCGGTGGAGATGTCCCCGTGTCCTCGCCCGACTGTGCCACTCCCCCCCCCCCCCCGGGCCTCCAGACATCCGACGATGTGATCTCATCAATGCGCGGCCCGAAGGTCTCTCGGGGTGGTAGCTCCTCCCGGATCCGTACCTGTTGGACCTGGGGCCCGCTCGAAGTGCCAAGAGACCTGCCCGCGCGTTCCGACACGGAGCGGTTCTGAACTCTGGAAGGCCCTGGTCGGCCGAGGCGTCCTCAGAGAACGACCCGAGCCCCAGGACCGTGCGTTGACCCCGAGCCCCCACGGACTCGCCCTACGGCGTGGTCACCGCAGCGTCTGGGGGCCCCCGATGGATGGTCCTGGGGCCCGATGACGGAGCCCGGAAGCCGGCGTCGACGAAGATCATCGTTCGTCTCTGGACGCCCGGAATGGGTACAGTCATCGGCCTGACCTAAGGAACGATCAATAAGGAACGGAGCCCCTTTTCTATCCCAAGGAATAACGCAGAAGGAACGATAAATAACAAATAACGCATAAGGAACTGTAAATAACGCATGCTGACCTAAGGAACGACCGAGCCCCTTTTGAAAAGGAAAAATTCCTTATTCAAGCCGCTCACTGTACGGAGAACAAAAAAAGAAAGCCCAACAACGAGTGTTGTTCAAAACCGATAGTGGCCGCTGTTGGGCAAGCGGCCTTCCGCCTCAAATGGGCAACGTCCGCGGCGAGCGTCCTGTGCAAGAATGAGCAAGGGATGTTGTCGGTCCTCGTGCCTTCTGTGGCAAGTGATGGGAGCCTTCCGTCTCATGTTGCTGGCTCTTACGAATCGACACCAACCGACACTAAATCGGCGCTTCCTCATTGATTACCAGACGCTGGCGCACGCTTGTGCACTCGAACAATTAAACTTCCTGAGGGAATAGAGGGTTTTCATGACTTGCAACCGAATCGTACCCCTCCCTTCCGTACCCACTTCGTCGGGGATCTACTGACCCGTGTCAATCCAAACCCAGTTCAACCAGGCTTTGCAAGATCCTGCACGATCCCGCGGGATCCTGCACGCAAACCTTGGTCAATGCACTTATGGCTCCGCAAGATCCTGCAAGATCCAACGCTCGGGTTGACTTCCGTTTGTCGGGCCGGGCAAAGGGGGGGGATAGCAAAAGGGGGGTTTGAGAATCAGCTCACGTAATTAGCTGATGTTCCCGGCGCCTCCCGGCGCCCGGAGGCGACCATGTGTCGAAGAATGGGCCTGGCGGTGGGGCCGCAAACCGGCTGCACGCAGCAGATCTCGTATAGCCCCCCCTTTCCCTCGGCCCCCCCTGTCGTCCAGCCCGAGCTTGCGTCGACCCCCGCCTCTCGAACCTCCAACTTCGATCGCACCGACCGTCCGCCCCGAGCCTCTAGCGCGCCTGGCGCACGCGCCCCATCGCCCAGGAAAAAACGCGCCGGCGCGGCCCCGGCGTGCGGGCTGCTGGGCCAAAACGGCCTCGTCGGCGCCCGCGCCAGCCAAAGCCCCGCGCGCCCCCGCTCTTGGCGGGGGGCAGCGCCGAGGGAGGATCGGGAAGACGGACGGACAGACGGACACACGCGCAGGTGACCACCGAGGGGCGGGGACTAGTGGCGCCGCTTGATGGGGGGGCGATAGATGGGGGGGAGAAAGGTGCACTTTTCGAACCCTGCCAGCCCCATATGGGCCCTCAAGGGCCCATTCAGGGGCCCTGAAGGGTTCCTTTTCTGCAGCCCTCGCTGGACCCCCATGCATTTATCGCCCCCCCATTACGCGACGCCCGATATAAGGCCAGCGCGGGTGCTCCAGAGCCCTCATTCAATGCGGTCGAAATGGGCGTGTGGAGCTTCAGGAAGGGATGGCGTCATGCGAGGTGTACGTAATTTGGCGTCGATGCCCGAGAGGTCGAATGTTGCCTGTGGGTGTTGAAGTCGGTGTTGCACTAATTAGGTGGCTGGAGGGAGGATACCTGTATCAGGGGGCGACTCCGGGGAGGAGAGGTATTCGTGGGAACGATGACAAGGGTTAGGGGTTGTCACGTCCGACTCAGGCGCCATGGCCCCTGAACAGACACCGCATCGGTGAGAGGGGGGAGTGAAAAAGAGGGGAGGGCGTCGAGAGCAGGGAAGGGGAGAAGGGGAGAGGCAACCGCCAGCTGGGAGAGACTCCAGGGCAGGGCGGCGGTCGTCGGAGCAAGAAGCAAGAAGGAAAACGAGAGGGCGAAGAAGGAGAATGGAGGAGGAGGAGGGGGAGGACGACGACGATGAAGGAGCCCAGCGACACACGAATAAATGGACACAACTCCCAGAATTCACAGTCTTTTCCAATCTGCTCTGGACTTCCGTCTTCCAGCTCCCCTTCCCATCTTTGCCCATCTCTTCCCGGGAATCGACGATCCGTAGTATCTGTTTGTTCTTTCCCCTCCCGAAACTATAGGAGGTCCGCTCATCATGTGCTCGGCAGTGCTCGGCCCGTTCCGAGAACGCCTGGCCGCGCTCTGGGGCGCCCAGATCCAGTCGCGCCGCCGTGGCCAGCAGCAGCCCATGAAGATGCCGCCCCCCCCCCCATAGGAAGCCCACAGAGCGTACGCTTGAGTCGAGTGTGTCCCCCTGCAGGGGGATTTTGGGCGAAAGATTAAAAATATGCAAAAATACACCCAGAATGCTCAAAAATAGTCAAAAAGTCGTCCCCATTGTATTTTTCACTATTTTTGAATATTCCCCGTGTAGAGGGACAGGCCCGCATTCAAAGCATACGCGCGCTAATTACCACGCACATGAGCACGGCCCCCGAATCCGCGGAACGGGCCGCGTGGTACGAGCGTTCGCGCAGTGCGTACTCTCGAAACCAACGTGGATTCATGTACGCGTTGTGTCCTTCTTTCGCTCCTGATCCCCGCACCTCCACTCATCGTGTGAGGATATATCGAGAATCTCTGACCGTGAGCAGCCCGACCATCCTCTGAAGAAGGACCCCTGCAAGGGAAGTCCTGTAGCAAACGCCCCTGAGGAGAAGACATGTTTGTGACGAGGATATCCGCAGGATGTCTCAATGAATGCTGACATGATCGAGAACTGTCGTAACATTCAGCGCCCTCGCGCTGGTTTAGAACGATTGGGGAAGCACAGCCGCATCCACTATACTATACAATGTTGCGCCTAGCTGCTAAACCTCCCCACCGTCTTCCCGTCTCGAACGGCCGGAGCCTCGGAGAGGATCTGAGCGTGGCCTGCACGCCTAGCCTTGGCGCGCTCGGCTGTGTCTGCCTCGTCACGTGCGACCACCGCCGCGGCGCTCCACGGCTCGACCGCCGATGCCAACAGTGCGTCACGACACACCTAGTCCTCCGCTTGTCGCACAAGTGTCGCATAGCCAGCCGGCCCCTTGTGGGGCCACCAGGCTGTAGGGCCAAGGTTTGCTGTTCCCTGCACCACTGTCAGTTTCCAATTGCCACTGCTACAGTTCTGCGTCTTGCTGCTTACTGGTGGACCGCGCGAGGGGGGGGAGCCAAGAAGGAACCTCGCTACCACGCCCGAATCGGGTGCTCTGAATTCCTGGGGGGGGACGTGGGACAATAAAGTAAATCAATTTCGCGCCTCCGTGGCCGTTAACCTTTCTGTATATTACACACTAGTCGCGTCCCCGAGGCCATAAACCCTGGCAAATTACTATACATTCGCGTCCACAAAGCCATAAACCCTTTACAAAATACACCATATTCGTGTCCCCGAAGCCGTAAACCTTCGTAAATGACCCAATGTTCGCGTCCCCGAGGCTACAAACGCTTGTAGATCACGCAACATTCGTGTCCCCGAAGCAATACACCATCGACAAATCTATATAATTTTAGTCGCTTCTCCGAAGCCATAAAACTGAGTAAATGACGCGATAGTTGCGACCCCGAAGCCATAACACTTGGTAAAATACACAATTATCGCGTGTCCGAAGCCGTACACCCCCGTAAATTATCCAAAGTCGCGTCTCCGAAGACACAAACCTGCGTAAAGTACGCGATGTTTGCAAGCCCGAAGCCATAAACCCTTGTAAAGTACGCGCTATCCGCGTATCCGAAGCCATAAACCATCGAAAAACAAAAAAACAAATGAACAATATAATCAGAATCTGCATTTGTCTTGCCGATTACTCATCGCCTTCGCGTGAAGTTCCGACGCTGCTTCACGGCGGCGCCAAGGCATGATTTTGCTTTTGCATTGCCCATTATCCGATCGAGGGGGCCGGCGGCAGGGGGCGAAGCCCTTACGGATGTATATATATACATATATATATATATATGAATGTGTATGTATGTATATATATGTATATATATACCTATTCATATATACAGAAGACTGCAGTGGCGCTTCGCGCCATGCAGTCTTGTGGATCACCCTGCACATTCTCCCCATCCTCCTCAGCTCTTTTTTGCGGAGGCTCCTCCTTGGAGAGCCTCGTGGGGCCTCACAAAACTTGTTTCAGGCTCTCTTAAGGCCTTCTGGAGGCCTCTGGGCGTATTCTGGGGGCCTCTGGGGGCTTCCTCGGGCCACCCTGCCTCCAACCGCGGACTCCCTGAACGACTGGGTCACGAAATGGAATGCTTCGGAGGGTGTCCTGTGGCCATATTGGGCCGCCATGGGGCTCTCTGAGGGCCACCTTGGACCCGTGTTGTGCCGTTTGGGGGCTCTCTTGGACTGCCTGGAAGCCCTTTCGCATGGTTGTGGGGCGATTTGTGAGCCTCCTAGGCGGCTTCGGACGCCCAGAAGACCGCCGTCTTGGAGCGTCGGGAAGCCGAAAAGAGGAGAACCCCGAATTTCACCAAAAGCCAATCGAGAATCCATGATGTTTGCCTCTTGGGGCCTTCTTGGGAGTGCTCTTGGAGGCCTCTTTGGGGCCGTCCTGGAGGCCTCTTGGGTCATCTTGAGGTCACGTCGGTCACTCTTGGAGCGCTCTTGTGCTGTCTTAGGGGGTCTCTGGGACGTCTCCGATGACCCCCCGATCGCCCTAGGTGTGCTTGGAAGGCTTGGCAAAACGCCTTGCGAGGCCCGGGGGGCAGCTTCGAGGCCCGTCCGGAAGGTCCCAAAGCCCCAGATCCCGGGAGTCCGTTTTTTCTTGTTTGGGGGGGTCCCCCCGCCCGGGCTTATAACAATATATGAATCTATGTATGTGTATATATAATATAAATAATACATATTTATGCATATATGCATATACGCAGATACATACATACATACATATATATATATATATATGTATATATATATGTATGCGTATATATATATATAGATGTATGTACTCATATATACATATATATATGAATATATGCATATATATGTGTGTATGTGGCAAACTCGCATGGATTTCCGGCAAACGCCTATTATAGGGGGTCGGGATGGTTGCTGTCTATCCCCTGGCCTCAGTCGCTAAGGGAAGATCGCGTCCCTCGTCGTCGGTCGGTCTGCAACTCGAACCTTACAACGGCGACCAGGTGGCGGGAGGAGGCGTTATATTCAAGCCTATACGTACACTCCTCGCCAGCATCGTCGAGCCCAGCTGGCAGGGAATGATGCTGTTCGTCCTGAGTTGAGCAAGCTAAAGCAGCGCAGCGTTCCCAAGACTGGAGATGAGAACGGCGACGAGAGATGAGTGGAACAGGACAAGAGACGAGGAGGGGAATGCGGAGACCCAACGACTTCCCCGTCCCAGACCTGAAGGGATACCTGGACTTCTTAAAGCCTCGACTGCAACTTTAACGCAAACGTCGTGATACCATGGTTTAGCCCCCCTGGAAGGTCAGGTCAGGGGTGGGTGGGTGCCAAACTTGGCCATTGCTTCCTGGAAGCGCCAAGCCTGAACCAAGGGCCAAGTGCAACAAGCGCAAAACACGTGGAGAGAGGTGGGCGCCAAACTTCCCGCATCCTTTTTTCCAGGCTTCTCCGTTGTCGTGTTCATCCCTCCCCGTCCCCCCCCTCCATGCATCCATCTCCCTGCACCCTCTCCTCCATCAAAGCGCGGGCCTGGATGAGCAGCACCCGCGGTGGCATCTGCTTTTTCCTCGCGTCCTCGCGGCGGCGGGCGCTTTTGAAGCAGGCATCAAGGGTTAGGTCGGGCGTGTCCCCCTGCAGGGGGATTTTTGGGCGTTTTTGTTTCAAATACCATCCAACAAAAATCGTCCCCAGACTAGTTTGTTGACTATTTGGGAGTTCCCCCCCTGTAGAGGCTCAGGCCCGACTTAAACCAAGGGTCACATCCCTCTACTTTTTGGCGGGGGGCATGGCGACCCAAATTCCCGACTGCATGGGACTGCCGACCGGACAACAACTATTCATTACGTGGAGCTCCCCATATGTGCATCTCTTTGCATTGGCATGTCCGCCATGAATGTCTAGACGCAAGAAACTTCGAATACAAACGAGCTTGGATATTGACAGCCTTGGAGGAGAGTCTAACTGTGAATGACTTTGAGATTGTCAAGCCCCAGTAGTACCAGTGAGTCTATGCGCGTGATTCTGCGCATGGCTGAGCTTTAAGGTGAGAGTGTCTGCACGTCAGGTGGCCTGAGCATGACTACTGAGCGTGACTGAGTCCTCCTGGGGTCTCTTGGGGCTTCCTGGGGCTTCCTCGAGTCTCTCGGGGCTCCTGGGGCCTCCTGGGGCCTCTTGGGGCCTTTCTGGAGCTTCCTGGAGCCTCTTGGAACTCCTGGGGCCTCCTGCGGTTTCCTTGAACCTCCTGGGGCCTCTTGGGGACTCCTGGAGCCTCCTGGGGCACCTTGGGGACTGCTCCTCCTTGAGCCTCCTGGGGCTTCCTGAGGCATCTCGGGGCTGCCTTGGGCCTTCCTGGCGCTTCCTGGGGACTGAGCCTCCTGAGACCTCGTGGGTCCTTCCTGGCGTTTCCTGGGGTTTCCTCGGGCCTCTTGGAGCCTCCTGATGCCTCTTGGGGCTTCCTGTGGCTTCCTGAAGTCTCCTGGAACCTTCTGGAGCCTCCTGGGGTCTCCTGGGCCTTCCTGGAGCCTTCTGGGGAGGAGCCGTGCCCCAGGAGGGGCCCAATGTATAGGAACAAAGTTAAAACACGTAGGATGGAAGCCACAATGGAACGACACGATCTATATATATATACATACATACACACATGTATATATATATACATATGTATAAATACATACATGCACACACCTATATATATATATATATATATATATATATGTATATATATATACACACATGTATAGGAACATAAGTAAACACACAACACATTCGTGCCCCACATCACGCCCTAGGAACAGACGTAAACCACTTAGGATTGGAGCCACAGGATAAGGACAATATATTGGACCATACGTAACACACAAAGGATTTCTGCCCCAGGAGACGCCTGATCTATAGCAGCACACGTAAGACACATAAGATCGGAGCCGTTCCTGGGGCCTCCTGGCGCCTGCTGAGGCATTCTGGGGCATCCTGGCGCTTCCTGGTGCCTCCTGTGACCTCCCGGGGCCTCCTGGAACTTCCTGGAGCTTCCTGTAGCTTCTGGGGGCTCTCGGAGCCTCTTGTGGCACACTGGGGCTTCCTGGGGCTTCCTCGGGCATCCTGGGGCTTCCTGGGGATTCCTTGAAACTCCGCGATCCATTGGGGCCCCCCGTGGGGATCCAACAGACCGCTCGAACCATGGCCGCAATGTACGCGCGCACGGAAGCCGTGAGACTGGTATCAATTTGAGGAAACGCCGCTGGGGCCCCTCTGGAGAGCTAAATCCAGCAAGCCGCTCGAGACATCCGCAGAATCTGTTCTGAGCGCAGACGGGTTTGGCCACCAAAACAAACAAACCGCCTCAGACATCATCAACACCTGTTCCGAAAGCGAAGGATGTCAAGCACTGAAACAAGCAAACCGCCATGGACATCCCGCAATCTGGGCGCGAACGGAGGCCGCGAGTACCCCTGGCGCCCCCCCCCATTAAGCGTGCGAAAACCCGTGCCTCGCTCGAGACATGCTCAGAACGTGTCATCCGAATGTGCTCTGAACGCACACGGGTCTGGCCACCAAAACAAGCACAACACATTTTCGAAATCTGCTAAGAAAACAAATGCTGTTGATCCAGGAAACACACACCGCCTGAAACATGCCCGCAATTTGGGCGCGAACGGAGGCTGTGCAATACCCCTGTCCCCCACCCCCTGTCAGGATGCGCCTCGCACAGGCCATCCTCAAAATCTACTCCGGCAGCGAAGGATGCTGAATCAGACACACGCAAACCGCCTGAGACATCCCCGCAATCTGGGCGCGAACGGAGGCCGTGCAATAACCGCTGTGGCGCCCCCCCCTAAGAGCGCTAAAACCAGCAAGCCGCTCATCACCATCAACATCATCATCATCAGCAACAGCATCATCACCATCATCATCACCAGCATCACCATAACCGTCATCATCATCACCATAGTCAGATCTATCGTCATCGTCATCATCATTTTGTCACCATCACCATCATAATCATCAGCATCATCATCAGCACCAGCATCATCACCATCTTCTTCACTTACCACCATCTTCATGCATCATCCTCGTCTAATGGAGGAGGAAGGGGGGTGAGAAGGGTCCAGCGAGGCCAGAGTAATACGCAATGCGTGGCCCCCCATATCAGCATCTGTTTGCAATGCCATGAGCATAGAAATTGAAAGCCTGGGAGAGGTGTCTAAACGTGAATGACGTTGAGTTTGTTAAGCTCCAGTAGTACGAGTGAGTCTACGCGCGTGATTCTGCGCAGGGCCAAGCTTAGGGTGGGAGCATCTGCACGTCAGTTGCCTGCGCATGACTGAGGGTGACTGAATCCTCCTGGGGTCACCTGGGGCTTCCTGCGGCTTCCTCAAATCTCCTGGGGCTCCTGGGGCCTCCTGGGGCCTCTTGGGGCATTCTGGCGCTTCCTCGGGTTTCCTGGAACATCTTGGAACTATGGGGTTTTGCGGCTTCCTGGAGCCTCCGGGGCGTCTTGGGGGCGCCTGAGGCCTCCTGGGACATCTTGCGGACTGCTCCTCCTTGAGTCTCCTGGGGCTTCCTGGGGCCTTTTGGGGCTTCCTTGGGGCTTCCTGGCGCCTCCTGGGGACTGAGCCTCCTGAGACCTCCTGGGCCTTCCTGGCGTTTCCTGGTGCTTCCTCTGGCCTCTTGGAGCCTCCTGGTGCCTCTTGGGGCGCCCTGCTGCTTCCTGAAACCTCCTCATTCTGGGGCCCCCCGTGGCCTCCTGGGCCTCCCTGGAGCCTCCCGGGGAGGATCCGTGCCTCCTTTTTGTGCATCGCCCGCGCGGCGCTCGCTGCGAACACCGTCCGCTGTGGAGGCTCGGGCTGACGGCGGCCATTCTTGTTGAACAGCCCGCAGGAAACTGCAAGGGCCAATTCCTCGAGCATTGCCGCAGCCGAGCATCGCGCTCCGCCAGGCCGCCTGCCCGTCTTGGGATCAAGGCCCTGGATAATGTTCTCGATCTTGAGGTTCCTCAACCTCAAGGCGTCGCCCGACACCACGTCGCAGGACTTGCCCAGCGAGCGAGGCTTGCCTGTCACCTCCTTGGCGTACGCCCTGCATCTGGTGCGCGCTTTGTAGCCGCCCCCTGCTGATCAGCTGGCAGCCTCCGTCGCCGGCCGCCCTGGTGCTGCCGGAGCCCGCGGGCGCAGGGGAGAGAGCCTGCATCCCGCTGCCGCAGTCCCGAACGCCTTCGTCGGTCATGGCAGGCGCTAGACCGCGGGCAGCCGCAGAGCGGTCGGACCGCGCGCTGCCTCGGGCGACGCTGTCGGTCTGGACGATGCCCTGAGCGACCGCAGGGACGCCGTCCTGCGCACCGCCCGCCCGCTTGCCGCCGTCGGACGCGGCGGCGGCTGGGCCCTGCGCGGCGGCAGAGGGCTCGGTCTGCCTACCGCGCGCGGCTGCAGGGGCGTCGACCTGCACGCCGCTGGCCTCCGCCTCGGAGCGCCTGGCTGCCGCCGGCGCCACCGCCGCAGCACTGGCCGCAGGGGGGGCCGAGGCCGCCGGCCTGCGGCGTGCGCCGCTGACGTCGGCGGCGAAGGGCTTCGGAAAGCACGGGTCGCCCAGCAGACGCCTGGCCCCCTGGGCCGTGAACGCCGACCTAAGGCCAGACCCTGCAGCGAGCACCTCCGCCCACCAGCTTGATGGGGTCGTGCCTGGTGATGGACAACGGCGGCCCCTTGCGCTGCACGCATCGAGATCCACGTCGAGCTTCAAGTCGGCAGCCTCGCAACCAGCCCTGGCCACCCAGAAAAACACATCGCCCAGCGTGAGCGCGCGTCGCTGCCGCGCCTGTCCGAGGTCGCTTGGGGCCCGCGCCGCATCAGCCACAAACTTCGCACACCTGTCGGCCTCCATGTTGCCGCGGCGGTCCCTCGCAGAGATAACCCCATCGCGCACATCCTTCACCGTCGCATGTGCCTTGACCTTCAGGATGGCGAGGCCACCGTCGCCAACGAAGTCGCCTAGGGCCTGCCGCGCCCTCTTCCAGACGCCGCCCCATGCAGCAGTGGCCTTCGCAATGCCAGCGGGCCCTCTTTCCAGGGGCCCCATCGCGACGCACGCCGGGCCGCAGGCAGCCGTGATCGGGGGGGGGGCTGTGCTTGAGGATCGCCAGCAGGCCGAGGAGCTCGGCGCCGTCGATCGACTGCAGCGGCCCCGGCAGCGGCGCGCCCAGCGCCTTCTTCGCCGAGTTGGGGCCAGGATCCCAGTCGGATCCACCGAACGGCAGCTCGGCGATGCCGCAGGCCGACGCTGCCAGCGATAGCCCAACTTTGTAGACCGCACCGTCCGAGTAGAGCGTAGCGTTCGCGAAAGGGAACCCATCGCCGCCCTGGATCCACTGCGCGTGCGCCAGCAGGTCGTCGCCAGGTGGCCGCCATTGGCGCAGGGGCTCTGGCAGCAGAAGTCGTACGAGCGCGCGGGTCGTCGCGCTGTTGCCGAAGGGGGCGAGCTTCGCAATCTCCGCAGGCAGAGCGCAGGAAGGCCAGCTGCCCTCGCACCCTGTGCGCCGATGCCAAAGAGCACCGGGCTCGCCAGGGTGCAGTTGGCAGCGC